GATAGGGTCTTGCTGAGTTGCTCAAAGACTTTGAATAACTTGTGGGCCTCTTGCTTCTTCTCTGTGTTCTCAGATTTAAACTCTTGGAATGAAGCTGTTTTGTGGCTAATAGACTCTAAGATAATCATTTTTAGCCAACCACCAGGACAAATATAATATTCAAATGTACAACTGAATTTTGCCACAATATAAGGAAATTTGGGTATCTAAACTAAAATATAATTATGCTTATTATTCTGCTTGGTGAGCACAGCTTTAATAATTTGGTCACTGAGGGATGGAACCAAATTAAAGGTCATGAAATAGATGAAATGCTTCAGAGATGAAGTTTAATACTTAATTCTCCCCCCCMAAAAAATACATCACAGACATATTACAATGATAAATTTGCCCTTGTTACTCTTTTTACCCTTCTTAAATATAGTTATTCCCCAAGATTGCTCCTTTGACTTAGCCATTCTTTGTAAATATTTATTTCCTAAGAGAAATTGTCTTTTCAGAGCTTAATATTTTGAAATTTCTGAGTCTTAAAACTATATAATCCTAGCCCTTATTTTGTAACTAGAGTCTGGATCTKTATTTCCATGTGTCTTATAAAATATTTTTATTTGGATATCTTCCTGTAATACCAGCTCAGTATATCAAAAGCAACATTTACTTTCCATACATTCCCAGTTATTCCATTTGGGGGTATAGGTACCATTATTTTTAGTTTCCATCCTAGGTTTGTAGAATCATCTTTTGTCTTTTTCTAATATATTATGCTATATATATAATCAGTTTGCCATTTTCAAAATTATTTGATTTACTTGGTTCTAACATTTCTTCTACCTTTATAGTCTGATGTTCTCACAGACTCACTTGAATGAATTCTGGAGATGCTATTAGATATAAGGCAGATTAGATTCCTGTTCTCAGTATGCTTAAAAGAAATGATAGCTGTTACTCCTCCATAAAGTTCAGATTCATTCCATCATAGGTAAACCAACTGTATCAACTCTCTCTATAGTTATGACACTTTCTAGTTCATTGTGCTCTAGCACATATGGCATCACTAATTATTTATGTGTCTGTTTCCCTTACCACATATACTGAGTTATTGGTAATGGAAATGGTTACTTCATTTTTGTATCACAGTGCCCAGTATAGTACCTTTCACATACATGATTGAATATTAATTGAGTGGATGGAGGAAAGAGCATTATAGATACTTTGTCATTTGCTTCAAATAGTGAAATGGATATAGGCCTTTTAAAATTTCTTAGTTTGAAAATCTTCCATAATTATCCCTAATTTGCTTGCCCAAATTTTCTCTTTCTTATAGTCAAATAAATATTTTTACTATCKCCTAAATACTTCATCTTCATTTTCACATGTTTGAATCCTGCTGCTACTGCTGCTGCTTTACCCACCTGCCTACCAATGGGAGTCTCACTAGGTTGCCCTACTCAAACACCTGCACCCCAGTGATCTTCCCACCTAAGTCTCCCAAGTAGCTTGCCACCACACCTGGCTAGAAGCTTCCTTTCTTTTCTTTATCATAGTCTAATAAATTTGCCTTTGGGGGTGGTCGGGGGGCAGTGTTTGTTTATTTGTTTTGGTGCTGGGAATTGCATCCAAGGCCTTGTGGTACTACCACTGACACCCCAGCCCATATTTATCTTCTCTTTGAAACCTTCCCTTTAACTCTTAGACCACACTGATATATATTGCTTAGCAACTGTATAATATAGCACTCTGTGGCARTGATCTGTATTTTATGCACTTTTTAATCTATATTGTTTGTCAGATCTCTTCCACTTGACTAACAACTATGTAACTGGCTGTTTTTCCCTCTCATCTATTTTAGAAACTTCTTTATTTATTTATCTAATATTCGTATTAGGAGCTAGCTCTTTCTCCAAACATGACAATTCTACACAGGAAACAGCACAGATTACTGTTTAAAAAGGGGCAGTTGTATGGTTATCTCTTCTTGTTATTGATTTTTAAAAATTATCTCTGAGTGTCATTGATTTTTAAAAATTATCTCTGAGTGTCATCCTAATTATAGTATTATATTAAAATTTTATGACCTAATTCAGGCTACTCATATAATCAGCCAAACTCTCAAAAAACAAACTGGCATGGTGGCACATGTCTGTAATTCTAGCAGCTSAGGAGGCTGAGGCAGGAGGGTCACGAGTTCAAAGCCACCCTGAGAAACTTAGTGAGGCCTTAAGCAACTTAGTGAGACACTGTCTCAAAATAAAAAACAAAAAGGACTGGTGATGTGGCTCAGTGGTTAAGTGCTCCTAGGTTTGGTCCCCAGTACCAAATAAAACAGCAATTTTAAGTTGTTCTGTTGGAAAATTATAATAAACACAGATGGGCCATTTCTGTAATTAAATTTTCCATGCTGACAATATTTAAATTAAGTSTATTTTTCAGTAACTTCTCTTAGACTATTTTTTTTTAGTTTTCTATGTTTCATAACTGATAAAAATCAAAATGTTTTGAGAAAATAGCATACTTTGAAAAAGTGCTCACTAGTAACTACCATATTTAAGTGTTCATAATTTTTTTTATGCATACTGGGGATCAAACCCAGGGGTGCTCTACCACTGCATCTTCAGCCCTTGTTATTTTTGAGACAGGTTTTGCTAGGCTGCCAGTGCTGGTCTTGAATTTGCTCTCCTCCTGAGTAGCTAGGATTAAGAGGCATGTGCTACCATGTTCTTCGTATGTTTAAACAGTAGTTTTACCCTGTGTAAAGATGGTTTAACTTCTTTATCCTTTTTTTTTTTTTTTTTTTTTTTGGTGGTGCTGGGGGTTTAACCCAGGGCTTTGTGCATGTGAGGCAAGCACTCTACAACTGAGTTATATCCCCAGCCTGGCTACATTTATTTTTATCATTAAGGAAAGAGATAATTAAAAAAGCTACTCAAAGTATTCATTTATTTATTTGGTACTAGGGATTGACCCAGGGGTGCTTAACCATGGAGCCCCAGCCGCACCTCCCCCTTTTTTTAAATGTAAATGTTTTATTTTGAGACAAGTTCTGAGTTGTTCAGGGCCTCACTAGCTTGCTGAGTGTGGCTTTGAACTTGTGATCCTCTTGACTGGGGTTATAGGTGTGCACTAMCACACCCAGCTCAAAGTGTTTATTTTATATTAGTGTAGTTAGGAAATSGTGTTCTTCTAATAAATAGCTTGTCTATTCTTCTCTTGTTACTGTTTCTTCTTTTTAACTCTTGTACATCCATTTCTTTTCTGTAATTCTTTTTTCTTTTGGCCCTCTGGTGATGTATCCAGGGCCTTGTACATGCCAGCCAAATACTGTACTGCTACATTCTCAACCCTTTTTAAATTTTATTTTGAAATAGGGTCTTACTAAATCACYTCGGGTGGCCCTGAATWTGTGATCTTCCTGACTCAGCTTCCCAAATAGATGTGATATCAGGCATGTGCCCCTGCACCCACTTACAACTTTATTTGTTCAATTTTTTCCATTTATTTATTTACTTATTGTACATGCCTTTATTTTATTCTAGAATAGATATAACATGAATTCACACTTTCTAATGGACCCAGTTACTTCAGTCTTTCTTACCCCCCACACATATCCCCTCACGMTTATGAAATTTGTTCTTTAACTATTTTCCTGACTGGCTCTTTACCCTACAAGTAGAAAGATTTTGGCTTCATGATGTTGTAAGCCATTTGTTGAACTGTAGTTCTTTCCAAACAAAGGAAGTTAGGTTGTTAACTTTTTTCTTGAGTGTCTCATTGCAATATAAATTTTTGAAATACATTAGATTTATTAGAGAAAATTGTTAAAATTTTAAGCCTTAAATTCCTATATCTTTATTGTACATTTTATTCATATTTTAGAGATTAGAATAACATCTACTTTTATGCTAGTTAAATGTAATGTCAGAGTAGAGTTTTACTTGCATTTGTAAGTCAGATCTTAGTGTGCTTAGTATTTTTATTTAATTTTATTCCTTTAAATTTTATTTATGTAGTTTTTTGTTTGGGGCTTTTTGGGGAGGGGTGGTACTGAAGATTAAACCCAAAAGTGTTCCACCATTGAGCTACCTTACCAGCTCTTTTTATTTTTTGAGACAGAGACTGGCTAAGTTACTGAAGCTGGCCCCAAACTTGCTATTCTCTTGCCTCAGCCTCCCAAGTTGATGGGGATTTACAGGCATGTGCCACCAGGCATGGCTGATATTTTTATTTTTAATGTCTAGTGTTGAACAGCTTCCTATGGTAGGTGTTATTTTATTAATCTTCTTGATTTCTGATTATCATAAATGTATTCAATATAATGACCTCATGTAGGTCAACTTTCTTAAACTTTCATTGACATTTTTTTTTTTTTAATTACTTTAGGGAAAGTGAAAGAGATAAGCCAGAATGACTTGGGATGCTTTTTCAAAGCATGTACCACTAGGAATTCTGATTCTCATTCTTTGCCATCCTTCTTTGGAAGCCCATGGTTATAATGAATCAATATTACTAAAGGAATTTATGCTTGTTCTCAAATATGTTAGTTTGTATACAAAAAGAACTTAGCCTGTAAGTTTTCAAAATTATTCATGGAAAATTATATTTCATAAAACAATAAATGACTGCAGATTTTAAATATGTATTGCATCTAGTAATAAAATTATTTAATTCTTCTCCTAAAGTGTTAAATTAAACAAATATTTATATTAGGGAAATAATTTGTCATTGGCAAAATAGTCCTGAAAATGTTGCTCTTTTCTTTAAGACAATATTCAAACCTTAAGTAGCAAGTATTAAACTCCAAAAAAGAACTTCTTAAGTAAAAGTTATTTTCAGAGTCTTAACTTTTATTTACTTTTGTCTTGGATGATCAAATGTATTCTTTTTATAGCCACTACCCTGAAAGTTGCAAGGTTTCACTTGTCTGCTTTCTGGTCTGCCTTCAGTATAGGTCCCTTMTTTTCTTCTCTCTGTACTCTTGAATTAATCCTCTACCTACTTCACAGGCCGATTCTTTGATGAAAATGAATCCCCTGTTGATCCGCAGCATGGCTCTAAACTGGCGGATTATAATGGGGATGATGGTAACGTAGGTGAGTATGAGGCAGACAAGCAGGCTGAACTGGCTTACAATGAGGAAGAAGATGGTGATGGTGGAGAGGAAGACGTCCAAGGTGAGCGTGGGCCTGGCCTCCATGCTGTGACCGTGAAACCCACCTCTAAGTTTTTTGGTTGAATTTGTGTAAATTTTCCCCATTTATTAGCATCAGTAAAGTCTTAATATTAATTCAAAGAGGTTCTGGGCAGATTTTCAGTTTTACTTTTAAAAGTATCTTATGATAGTAGAAGTTGTAGATCTATCAATAATTTTTTAAGTTTTAGTTATTCTGTGTATTATTGAGGCAGTTGCAATTTGAAACTTATAATTCTCAGAAATTTTAGAATTAAATTGTTAAAATGACTAGACTTTAAAATAAGGCAAATGCTTCCTGAAACAAATTATTCTTTTCCAGTTTCTTATCTGAAAACATTTCATTTTTCTAGGCAAGTATTGCCCAGGCAGCCTTTTTGTTATAAGGAAACTACAAAGGGAACAGTTTCCTCCATATTGAAATAAAAATTATTTCACCACTGATATAACATAGGAAAATTATTTTTAAGTTTTTTTCTAACAGGCTTTGTGAAGAAGCTTTATCTTATGTTTAATACACAGATTCAACACATTTTTTTGTTAACTATGTTACTTCTGAGCTTTTAACTTAGTAAAATTCAGATTCTACCCATGTGCATGCAGCCCTACCCATGCATGCATATCAGAGTACATTGTTTTTTAGGCTTATTTTCTGCCTGCTTATTGTTTAGTACAATTTGTGGAGTTTTAAAATCTTCTATAAAAGTTGATTATGACCCTTAGGATGTGATGTGTAAGATTGCCATTATGTGATGCATGAAATATTTTTCACTATAACCTATTTTGATTTCTTCCTTAACTCTTTTTATAGTAATTACATTTTTACTGAGGTTCATGRCAGGAATTGTTTTTAAAAACTCAGAATAAGGTTGTGGCTCAGCAGTAGAGCACTAGCCTTGTACGTGTGCGGTGCTGGGTTCGATCCTCAGCACCACATAAAAATAAATAAATAAAGGTATTGTGTCCAACTACAACTAAGAAAAAAAATTTTAAAAAAATATAGAATATAGTTGTCATAGAATACTATATATAATATAAAAAGAAAAACTAGAGTTTCTGACTTCCGTGTAGGCATTCTGGTAGTACATTCTAGTTTTGGAAAAACATGATTATTAGAAGTAGAAGAAAGATTAGTGTTAGGAGTTACTTAAAGTTATATTAATGAGAATTTTAATTTTAATTTTAAACTTTTTTGGTTATATAAAATAAATTTTACTCAGTTTTTTCATAATTTCATCTCTTTTTTATAAATTTTACCTTCTTTTCTCATTACTTTTGTGGTTTGTTTGGACTACACTTATTTGCAATTATATATAACACTTTAAGGCTTTTTCATTGCATGTATATCATCACTAATTAGATTGTAAGCTCTTGGAGAGCAGGAATTTTCATTTATTTTTCCTTCTGTTTTGCTTGTGTCCTTTTCTGCCTTCATAYTCATTTTCTTGCAGGGCCTTCAATAAATGTCATTAACTGATAAAAATTTATTCTTTTCTTATTGAGCTTTTTTATTCTTATAACTGTGACTAGGGTAATAACCCTTTAACTTCTGATCTTATGAGTTTGCTTGGTTTGCACTTTAAATATTCTCTTTGTTTTTTTAAGGGTTTTTCTATCATCTCATTGGATATTTTTGAGGTTTTTATTAGAGCCATTAATTTCAACCATGATTGATAATCATTTCATATAGGTGTGTGTGTAATTGGTTTTTGCTCTTTTAAAGTTGATGAGTTTTATCACAAGATTTCAGTTTAATTTTTTTATGGTTTTTCACCACAGTAGGTAAATTTATTTTCATTGCCTTCTTTTTCCCTTTTTTTAACCCTTCTCCCTTCCTACTCCTATTTCTCATTGTCAATTCAGGTACTCAGTACTTTTACTGCTGCCCTTCTATTCTTTTCACAAGAAAATGAATTCATTGAATTCTAAGCAATATAAAGAAACAGAAGGCTAAATAGTAGGCTATAAGCCAGGGGCGGTGGTGCACGCCTTTAACCCAAGCAGTTTAGGAGGCTGAGGCAGGAGGATCACAAATTCCAAACCAGCTTCAGCAACTTAGCAAGGCCCTAAGCAACTCAGCAAAACGTTTCCTGTGTCTAAATAAAATACAAAAAAAGAGCTGGGACATGGCTCAGTGGTTAAGTGCCCCTGGATTCAATCCCTTGTACCAAAAAAAAAAAGAAAGAAAGAAAGAAAAAGAAGTAGCTTATTTATATCTTTGATGAAATAGGTCAGAGGTTGTTAAATTTTTGAATTTCTTTATTTGCAAGTGAATCTTTCTTTTTAGTATTTTTATTAGTTGTTGATGGATCTTTATTTTATTTATTTATTTTCAGTGCTGAGAATCGAACCCATTGTGTCACACATGCCAGGCAAGTGTGCYACTGCTGAGCTACAGCCCCAGTCCTTGCAAGTGAAATCTTAACTTAAGCTGAGGGCTGTCATTTAATATTTTTGTTTCATTGTAGAATTCTAGGTAGTGGCAGGAAGATAGGGCAGCTACATAAAGGGACTTCCTTATCACAGAGAACAGAAAAATGCAAGAACATCAACTCAGCCAAATAAAGAAGATAAATTCTGGTAAACTGACTAAAAAGGATTACTTAAGAGACCTAAAGCCAGTGCATTGGTGCACACCTGTAATCCCAGCAGTTTGAGTTCAAAGCCAGCCTCAGCAACTTAGTAAGGCCATAAGCAACTCAATGAGACCCTGTCTCTATATAAAATATAAATTAGGACTGGGGACATGCCTCAGTGGTTGAGTGCCTCTGGATTTAATCCCTGGTACAAAAAAAAAAAGAATTTAAAATATATTTTCAGAGATTCTTCAAGACTTTTATTCTTTAGGTGTAGTATTAACTGTTCAAAAAGTAGGGAGGGGAATTATGGCTGTTCCCTAATTTATTAAGTTGGGTTTCAAATGTTTATTATTAAGAATATATAGAATTTAAAAGCACTTCTTTATTATGGCAATGTAGGAATGATGATTAAATTCCCAGTACAGTTTATCCTGTTCTACTAAAAAGATAATTAGAGGGCTGGGGCTGTAGCTCAGTGGCAGAGTGCTTGCCTTGCACATGTGAGGCASTGGGTTCGATCTTTAGCACCACTAAAAATAAACAAATAAAATAAAGGCATGCTGTCTATCTACAAATGCAAAMAAAAATTAATTAGAGGTCCAAAGCAGTTTAGAACTAGATCATGTTTGTTAAGTACCTGAGTCAAGAGCAGATTTAAGTTTTTCTATTCCTAGACCTTTGTTCTACCTCATTTCCCCTGTACTTTTATTCATTTAAAAAGCCAGAAATGTAACATTTTTTCCTTCAGTGACTTTTCTGTTAAGTTTCTAGGAATTTTCCAGTGCTCCAAGGTGATTAAGTCTGCACTTAATTATTATGTCTTGAAAGATGTATTTATAGCCATAGGTGAGTCCCATAACATGGATTCTAAAGAGAACTTTCTGGAAATGTGCCAGTGCTTATTTTCCATTTTAAAACCATTTTTTTTTGAAGTACAGAGAGTTCTTTGACAAGAAATTGATTAGCATGTTTACAAAATACAAATGTGAATATAAATATAATTTTAGCCATTGTACATGTTAAACAGATTTGGGGTTATCATGCCTAGGGGATTATACTGTTAATGATGTGTGATGAGTTTAAGAATGTGGTGCAAAATTTTTTTGCTGTTTTAGAATAAAACAAACCTATCAAGGCTGGGCTCAGTGGTGCAGGCCTATAAATCCCTGTGATTCAGGAGGCTGAGGCAAAAGGATTCCAAGTTTGATGTCAGCCTGGATGAATTTGCAAGACCCTGTCTCAAAATAAAAAGGACAGAGGATATAGCTAATTAGTAGTGCAAGTCCTGGAGTTCARTTTCCCCAAATAATAAACAAACCCCCAAAACTGTCATATCTAATATAAGGATGTCATAAAAAGCCATGTTCTCAAAGGGAGCCTCTCAGGTTCTGATTAAAATACTTTTCATTCTAATTCAAATTCTAACATGTTAATTTTTTTTTTTTTTTGAGCAGTCTTATTTCAGAATATGTAGTCTACAGCAAAAACTAGAAAAGAAGTGGAGCCCAGTGGCACACATCTGTAATCCCCAAAACTCGGGAGACATGGTGATAAACAAGTTGGGGGCCAGCACCAGCAATTTAGTGAGACCCTGCCTCTAACTAAAAAATAAAAAGGAATGGGAATGTAGCTTAGTGGTTAAGTGCCCCTGGGTTCAATGCCCAGTACAAACAGCAACAAAATTAGAAAAGAAGCACATTGTTTTTGTCAACAATGCAGTAACAGCTGATAGCCAAGAAGGAAACAGGAAAACCTGTCAATACCCAAGTAAATCAAACTTCAAAGCACCTATTGGAGTAAATTCAATAGCTACTCAAAGTGGCTTTGAGAATATAATTTTTTTTTCTTTTTGGTAAAGAAAAGATTAAAATTTGGTTAATATACTCCATGTAGGAAGTCAAGGATAAGCTATTCCCCAAAGAAGTAGAGAAATTCACCTGAATGTTAAATATTGGGATCAGAAGTGACTCATTTTTCTCTTTTATTTTCTAATTTTTACATTTCCAGCATGGATTACTTTTATAATTAGAAAAGATTTTATGCCGGGCATGGTGGCTCACATCTATAATCCCAGCAGCTTGGGAGGGTGAGGCAGGAAGATCATGAGTTCAAAGCCAGCCTCAGCAAAAGTTAAGTGCTAAACATCTCAGTGAGATCCTGCCTCTAAATAAAATACAAAATAGGGCTGGTGATGTGGCTCAGTGGTTGAGTGCCCAAGTTCAATTTTTGTTTTTTTCAATTTTGAGATTTTGTTTTTAAAGTCAGTAAAATATACACAGAAGTGTTTCTACCAGAGCTTTAATTTAAATCTTCACCTGTATATTATAGAAATAATATATGTATAAAAAAGGATTGACTCCTAAATATTGAGGTTTCCTAAAGTTTTGCTAGCTGTATCTATCTAGCTCTACATTTGTCTTCAAAGTACTTTAGAAATAATGTAATCTAAAGAATGAAGTCTGTTTTGGAAGATTATTTCACTTTTTACTCTTTAGCTAAGCCACTAGGATATAGAGTACTGTATACATTAGGTGAGAAATAACAAGAGAAAATGACATTAAGGCTGAAAAAAAATTGAAACAGTTCTAAGTTGGGTTTCTATTATGATTTTAAGATATTATTCTTAATACATAATTATTTTACTTACAGATGATGAAGAGAGAGAGCTTCAGATGGATCCTGCAGACTATGGAAAGCAACGTTTCAATGATGTTCTTTAACTCCTAAAAAACAACATCAGAAAACCTAAAGTGCTGTAAAATGGAATCATTTCTACTTTGTCATTTTTGACTTCTGTTGTAAAGATCAGTTGTATCAGTTGTAAAGATACATTGAGATAGATGTAAGGAAARACTTTAATGAAGGAATGTACCCATGTACATATGTGAACTTTTTCATATTATATTATCAAAGAAGACTTTTGGTTATGATACAGTTGAGCCAAAAATAGATAATCTTTGCATTTAAAGCAAACTAATGTATATTTCACATTTTTTGAGCCTAATKTTTTTTCCACAAATAGACAAATGGGAGAAAATGGTTATGTAGATGTTTTATGATGCACATAGCATAACCACAGTGAGAACAATTATTCAGCTGAGAATTTTTTATACACTAATATCTTCTTGTTAGCCCAACAGGTGTTCTGTTCTATCTGCCCCTCATTTCATGCTTTTCAGGAGTTATGCCTAGAATAGTTATGTAAAAGAGGGGAAATTGGATGCCAAACACTAGTTAACRTGTACAAAACTGCCTCTCTACTCAAGTGCTAATGTGTTTTGGCATATTAACTTTCAACTGAGGCCTGATGGAATTTGAGATAAACTTCAAAGACATAACAGAATATATGAGTTATTGTTTACGTTAGTTCTTGAAATTGTGGAATGCATGATGGACGATATATTTTCAATTTTTTCTTTCTCAAGTAATACCAGTACTATTTAACTATTGTCAGCACTRGCTAAAAGAAAAATTTTTTTTCAGAGTTCAGGTCAGTGAAGATAAATTAAATGCCAGATCCTGAAAGGAGCTAAATCTACTTTGAAATGAATCTACAATTGATATTTCAAAGCTTTTCTGGTAGTTTTAATGATCTTATTTAACTAGACTTTTTCAGAACTACTAAATAAGAAATTTTAACAGGTTTTTATTAATGCACACATAAATAGATATACAGTGAGGTCTACAGCTGTTTTATTAAAATAGCTTAAAAGTTTATAATAAAAATGAATCTTTGTAATTACTTAATGTTAGTTAAGAACCCATCAACCTCACATTTGCTAGACTTACACAAAATTGTTTTAAATGCATTTTTTTGACACTATTTAGTCAAATGTGTAAGCTAGCTAACCCTTATTTTCTTATTCAAAGCACTTTTTTAAATAGTACCTCTCCCCCCAAAAAACTAAAGGTTTGGATCATACCAGGATGTTTAAGGTTGTTTAACCCTGTTTTTCAAAAGGGCTACCATTACTTGCATATAAACATGAAATATCCGGCAGGGGATATAGCTTAGTGATAGAGTGCTTGGCTAGTATGTATAAAGTTCTGAGTTTCTCCCCAGCACCACAAAATAAACAAACCCAAAACATGAAATACCTGTAYCCCCACATTAAGTTTCCTGTCATAATTCAAACTTATAGATAGATTATTCACTTGTTGAGGTGCAAAAATTCTTAGCTTTCAACTGGAAATTATTTAATGACTAGGAAAAGATGCAGTAATTTACTAAAATAGTTTTTCCACCATATCAAACTAAATAGTGTTCATGTTTTTGTTAACAGTAGGGTGAGGACTACAGGTATGATGGTTCACATAATTTTTAAAAGGGAGTTAGTTAAAAGGAAGTGATGTATATCCTTTGGTGTACATCCTTTTAAATTACTTTAAATAGTGAAAAACACATGTTCAGAATAAATTTGGGCATTAATCGGAGAGGTGAATCTAAAAATATTCCTAGAAATATTTCATATTTAATATTATAAAATCTTTACAAATGAAATTACCTTAGTTCCTTTTTCATAAAAATGATCATTTGGTTATATGCTAGCTATTACTTACATAGCAAAATTTCTTCAATTGGCAGTCTAGACATTTTATAAATCAAGAAATTTTGGACCAATTGATAATATTTCTGACTGTATTAACATTTTAGTGCTATAAAATATTATGTAGATGTCTTAAAATTCTGACATTCTACAGTCTATATTACTATGCTGTTTTTGTTTTACTTCTGCCTTAAGATTTAGTTTTTTTAAATGTATTTTTGCCCTGAATTGTTAATTTGATGAAAGTTCTGCTTCTAAAATCATCACTTACTGGGTTCTAATAAATGAAAAATTAAACTTGTTTCACTGTTTTGCTGTATCTAATACCTTACATTCTTGACAATCTCGTGATATAGTCACATTTTTAACACTGAGATTTTGAGTAAATTAGTGCTTACTTAAGTTAAGCTAAAGCAGAAATGTTTACAGGAAAGCTGTTTGTTATAAGGCGAGTTTATCCACAAACACTGAATATCTTTTGTGTGCCTTGTTCTAGTAAGATGAATCGATAAGATAGATAAAGTTTATTCTGGAACTTAAATTCAGGTGGGGGCAGTCAAACAACACAAGTAAACAAATAAACCAGATGACTTTAAATAGTGAAAAACGCCTGTTAAAAATAAATTTTTTGAGATTAGAGTTCCAAATAAATCATGTTTTCATTCAATGGAAACATTTTAGTTGTGTAATTAGAAGGTAATGACCAAGGGGAAGAGAAAGGATGCTGGAAAGATAGAGGGGGCAAGACAGGGAGAGCTTGTAAGTTCAGGTCACTGGTACTGACCCAGAAAGTGAAAGTACAAAGTATAAAATATGCATGGTGGGGCTGGGGATATAGTTGAGGTAGAGCACTTTCCTTGCATGCACAAGGCATTTGTTTTGATCCCCATTACCCCTAACTCTAAAAAAGCAGGGGATGCTGATTGCAAGGAAAATATGTCTTCAAAAGCATTTCTAAAACGTCGCTAGTTTTAAAAAAGTATTAAGATTGTGTCTTTAATCTTATTTGTATAATCATGTAACAACAAACTTTGCTCAAGTTTGAAGTCAGAGAATTTGTTTATAAAAGAAATTGTGAGGACTGGGCACAGTAAGTAGCACATGGCTATAGTCTCAGTGACTTAGGAGGCTGAAGCAGGAGGATGGAAAGTTTGAAGACAGCCTCAGCAACTTAGTGAGACCCTGCCTCAAAAAATAAAAAGGACTGGGGTGCAATCTAATGGAAAAGCACCACTGGGTTCAATTCCCAAGACAAAACAACAACAAAAATCAAAACAGTTGTGTGGAAGTCATTTCCCATAATGGCTGACCCTGAAAACATCAATAAGATAAACAGTGTGATATATCCAAAGTCTAGCTTATTATTTATATCACACGTGAACCATCAATATTCAGTTCCAATTGGGCCACATCAAGCCTAATCCAGTTCCATTTTAGATTCTCCTCTCTATTGGTTTCAAATGTAAATTCAGCTAACTAACAAAAGATAATTGGTGTAATGGTCCATGTAAGAAAACTATTATCAAGAGTAGAAGAACCCTGGCTTGAAGACAACTCAAACAAGGAACATGAATGCTACCAAGATTTTGTTTCACCAATTTCCATTTCTGCTTCTCTTTATAACATTCTTATTACCTTCATTTTCTCAAACCAGTTCCCTCTTCAAAGCTCTATGACACCTAGAAGATCCTATTTTTCTTAGTTTTGCTATCTGATGGGCTACTCTCTTCCCTTAGTTTCACTTAAAAAAAAATCCAAGAGAAGAGGGCTGAGGTCATAGCTCAGTGGTATAGCACTTGCCTAGCATGTGTAAGGCACTTGATTTGATTCTATGCACCATATATAAATAAATAAAGGTCCACTCACAACTAAAAAAAATTTTTTTWAAATATTTATTTATTCTTTTAGTTTTCGGCGGACACAACATCTTTGTTTGTATGTGGTGCTGAGGATCCAACCTGGGCTGCACGCATGCCAGGCGAGCGCGCTACYGCTTGAGACACATCCCCAGCCCAAATATTTTTTAAAWATACGAGGGAAGAGTGACCTATGCTTCTCACCATAATGTAGTAGGCTAACTAGCCCTCTTGGATTGGTAAAGATTATAGGACTAGACAAGATATATTAGGCAACTGTTTTCAGGCAACACAGGTTTACAATCTATGTGAGAAGGGAAATTTAGGCATGAATCCCATAATCACCAAGCTTCCTGTGGTATATAAAAAGATGAGTCTGAGGGGCTGGGACTGTGGCTCAGATGTAGATGTGCGAGGCCCTGGGTTCTATCCTCAGCACCACATAAAAATAAATAAATAAAGATATTGTGTCCAACTACAACTAAAAAATAAATGTAAAAAAAAAAATGAGTYGGAGCAGAGCACAAGGTTCTGCTGACTTGAGGACATGGAGATCATCGTGGGGATAGCTCAAACAGTTGAGATCTATCTAATGCGTGGGACACCAGAAAATCCAGAAATACATATAGGGGTTCCCATAAGGGAATACATATTGGGCTATCCCTGCTTAGATCAGGACCACCTGATGTATAGTTAGAGTGCTTACCTAGCATGTGTGAGGCCTGGGTTCAATCTCAAACACAGAAAGGAAAGAAATGAAGGAAGAACTGCCCTAACAAAGCCTAACATTAAGCCCTGAAAAGACTGATAGAGGAAACAATATGGGAATTGCATTCTGCCAAGTTAAAATTTGAAAAGTTTTTGGGCTTAATATGAGCTAACAAAGTAAAAAATAAGTATATTCAAGTTTAGGTGACTACTCAGTAACTGGAATGTCTTCTAAAACAAGAAGCAGCAATTTTCAGCTAAGATAACAGAATCCAGTTGGGCACAGTGGCCCACACCTGTAATCCCAATGACTCAGGAGGCTGAGGCAGGAGAATCACAAATTTAAGGACAGCCTTGACAATTTAATGAGACCTGTCTCAAAATAAAATGAAAAGAGGGGCTGAGGATGTGGCTCAAGTGGTAGTGCGCTTGCCTGGCATACGCAGGGCACTGGGTTCGATCCTCAGCACCACATAAAAATAAAATAAAAATGTTGTGTCCACCGAAAACTAAGAAATAGATATTAAAATAAAAAATGAAAAGAGCTGGAGATGTAACTCAGTGGTAGAACACTCCTAGGTTCAGGCCCCAGTASTTAAGGAAAAAAAAGAAAAACAGAATCCAGAGTTTCTACAAGGTATTACATTTATCCAGTATTCATGAAAAATGACTAGATAACATACAAAAAAACAAAATACAATTCATGGTTTCAAAAAATTGATGGCCTAACATGTTGGCACACAACTCTAATCCTCTAGCTACTTGGGAGGATGAGGTAAGGAGAATCATGACCAGTCTGAGCAACAAAGTGAGACCCTATTTCAAAAAAGTAAGATTAAAAATAAAAATCAATTTATGGCCTTTGTTTGTCATCAATGCAGCTAATATTTTCAAAGAATTAAATGGGGCTGGTAGTGGGAGTACACAAAGCCCTGGCTTCAATCCCCTTCTCCCCAGGATCACAAACATAAAAGGGTTAACTGAAAACATGTTCTTTTTATTTACTTTTTACACCTTTATTTTATTTATTTTTATATGGTGCTGGCGATCGAACCCAGTGCCTCACATGTGCTAGGCAAGCGCACTACCACTGAGCCATAACCCCAGTCCTGAAAATGTTTTTAATGAAGGAGTTAATAGAGGGAATCTCTGCACAGACATGGAATTAYAGAGAACTAATGGAAACTCTAGAACTGCAAAGTATAATAAATGAAAAACTCATTGTGCTCAATAGGAAATTGTAGATGGCAAAATAATGAACTTGAGGACATACAAATGAAGCTGTATTGTATAAGTATTTGAAAATACAGGGTGGACAATCCCCAGTACTAAAAACAAAGGATAAGAAATAATATAGGATGGAAATGTTGAGAAACATAGAAATGTGGATTTGGGATTTTTTTCATCAAAATTAATGGACAGGGGCTGGGGTTGTGGCTCATTGGTACAGCGCTTGCCTAGCATGTGTGAGGCACTGGGTTTGATTCTCAGCACTGCATACAAGTAAATGAATTAGATCCATCAAAAAAAAAATATATATATATATATATAAAATAATGGACATATGCTACAAGAAATTCAGTGTTAGACGTTTAGTCTTCAGTACCTCCTATCTAATTAATTATGTATTATCTATTATTTACAGAAAACATTTCAGAGTACTAGAGATACTGCACAGACAAAAATACCTGCTTCATGAAATTTATATGCCAAAGAAAGAGATAAGACATTATTTTCTATATTATTCTACGCCAGATAATGGTAAACATTGAGAAAAA